TTATTTAATAATTAAACTTTGAGTTACTTAGACATTAGTTCTAAGTGCCTGGCCACAGTGAAGAGAAAATAAGTAGTATTTACTTTGAATTACAATAATAAATATATTTTATATCTAGATTTATCGATAAAATGTATGAATATCTATTTCAATTATATACTAAATTTGAATTAGATATCTAAGTATTTATTATTTGATAACTCAGATAATACTTGAATATATAATTCTAGTTTAGTCATAAGTAATCGTCCGAGTTATATTTCATCAAATCTAGTCATCTAGTTATACTTCAAGTGTGCCGAGATTATTGTCCAAGATAACTTGAACCTGATTAATATCCCGCAATTTGCTTTCCTACTACTCGAGTATATCTCCAGACTCCGAGTGATCTAATTTTCTAGTATTATCAAGCTTAGAGATTTATAATGGATTCTGTAAGTCTACTACCCCACTTTCGGGGCCACCCCCCCTTTTGGGCCACCCTAAAAAAAAATGACCCCCATCTTCTACACCATATAACTCAACAATTATTTAACTTTAATAAAATCGCCTGTATCATTACTTTCAATTGTACCATTGCTATCTTCAGCATTAATTCTATGGTCTCCAACTATGATTTGCGTTTCTCTAATAACTCTAATCCTTGTAAACCTGGTATTTGGACTAATAACAATCTTATATCTTTTCTTAGGTACAACAGCATTCAATTGATATTTTAATTGCTTTATATGTTTCCCTGATTCTATAAGATTATAATTCTTAATATCAAAAGCTTTAATAATCTTACAAAAAAGCAAACATCTTGTTACCAAATCAGGCTCTTTTTCTTGAGTTATAATTGATGTATATAATCGAAGATCTACTGCTTTTTGAAGGGTTCTCTAAGTAATAACTGATGCCCCTATATTCCATTAAAGCTAGGGATTATTATCAAAGGCTGAGTTAGATACTAAAACCTTTTGGTTACTGTTCTCAAGCAATAATCGATTTATAAGGGGTTTAGCGCGGTTTTTGGACCATAGATCTGATGTTTTTTATTCAGCTTTAATATTATAAACTATTAAACCTTTTATTCTAGTCTTCTGGTAGTAACGAAGAAAGCTACGCTTTACAATTGGTATAGAATCAAAGAAAGAATTCAGATTATTGAGTGTATATCGATAAGCATTTTTCAAAGGTGAGAAGATTGATAAATCTAATGGTTGTAGGATGTGTGATGTATGTGGTGGTAGGAATAATAAAAAAATATTTTTTTCGAAATATTTATATATGAAAGGTATAGTTTTATAACTTCTATGTCTATCCAATATAGTTAATCATAATTCTCCAACTTGAAAAGAAATAGTTTGAGATATAAAGACCTTTTCCAATTATTTTAGTTTTGTTGTATTTGTAGTTCACTCATTTTCTGTAACAGTGAAATTCCAATCCTTATAAAAATCAAAATTAGTGGGAAATTATTGTTATTAAACATATTTTCCCTTATATATAACAAATAATTTGAAAACCCATCCTATTATCGAAATATATTTAATAAAAGAGATCCAAACTTTTGAACCAGACTGTTTTTTTTGAATATAACAATGCTGGGAACTTTCTACTATTAGTCCATTAAGATCTTGATTTTTTATTATATCAGCCTCATCTATATTATATCGATTTTCAGGTTTTATATCAATAATCTCTAATAAATCAAGTTTTCGAAACCATAACGCAATAATATTATATAAAACATCCGAAACTTGGGCAGAGTCGATCTTATATTGTTTTTTGATTTTAATCTTTGGATTTCTCCTCAAAAAGTTGTGTATCTATTGTTTTCCAAAGGTAGAATCGATTTCTTTTATATTGAGAAGATGTTTTCCAATTTCACGAATTTGCTGATGAGTAGGATTAGTATCCAAGTTTTTTTATACTAATATTTATTCTATTAATCATCTCTCCTGAATCGAGGCAATCTTTTGTATCATTTGGGCACCTTTTTTATGGGAGACTTGCCTATTAATACAGTTCTGAAATGTTGTATGAGGGATCCTATAATCCAGAGCAACTTTTTGTACTAAAACACCATTTGTGATAGTATTTAAGACTTTAGCAATATTGTTTTCCTTATAGAGGTTCGTTATTATATAAATAATAGTATTTTCAAAATTTGAAATCAATTGATTGAATGATTGTTTAATCATGAAATATTTAAGAAGGTAGGTTGCTGAGGCGGTGTGGGTTTTTAGGGTGGCCCGAAAGTGGGGTAGTAGACTTACCGGTAGTATACCCGAGTACTATAGTCTATAGTTATAAAAACAGTATACGGTATAATATAAGTACTTAGAAAACGGTAACCCTCTACGACTCGGAGTAGAGGAATAGCGTATATAAGTACTATTCCAGATCTACGAGTATTTTATTATAGATGCCGGATATAAACTTCAAAACAAGGGCTCACTAGCAAATACTATAGAGAAATATACTTCATTCCGTTTCATCTCAAAACATACTAGCGATTTCTAACGAATATTATATCATCATATTATCGTATATAAATCCAAGAGATTACCAAATCATCTAATCTTCTAACTTGGATCAGAGCTCAAATACTAAGAATAATCATCTCGTATCTAAACCCTACTAGCAAAGATCACTTAATTATCGAATCTAACTCGAACTCTAGATATCAAAAGTAATATATCATATAAATAACCAAGAGATCAGCCTAAGATCAATAAATTCTCTAATCTAAATTCCGATATTGAAAACACTACTCGAGTATATCGTATATTATATCTGAGTTCGAAAAACATCCTCGTATTTGAAGATTCGAATCAACTTCAAATATCAATAAGTATTCATCTCAACCAATCCAAAAGAAAATAGATCAATTATTGAATTCAGATTCCTAAATCTAAAACATTCTATCTTATCAAAACCGAAGAAGAAATTTCATTCTATTATATATTCAAGTATATTATCGATTTATTGTTCTATCTATAATGAACCAGTTCTTTGATTATTAGATCTAAATTACGATATTGAGGATTTTAATCTAATATCTAAATCTGAATCCAAGAGATATTCGAATATAGAATATATATTTATTCATTTATTGAGACTATAATATCTAATTTTATATCCCGAGAATATCTCAATATTAAAATCAAGATAGAACATTAAGTAGTATATAGCCTCAAGACACTATTTCACTATAAATTATACTATACTACGAGTGTATTCTAAGTATTCTTTCTGTATTCTACAAACATCTACTAGTATAGAAAAAGACTTCCAAAAGGTCTAAAAACCTCTAAATTAATCTTAAAAAGTCCTAAAAAATGACTTATAAGAGCCACTAAACTAGAAAAATCCACCCCAAACCCTAAAAACAGCGCAAGCCCCTAAATAACCCCCATTACCCCCGCCAAGAGGTCGCCTAACTGCTGTCGCTTCTCTCCCCTAACCTTTCTACGCTTACTTTGGCGAGAACCCGAGCCCCTAGCCTCGCGTCCAGCCTCACGTCCAGCCTCATCCTCAGCCTCTCCACCTCCCTCTCCCGCTCCCTCAGCCTCTCCCTCAGCCTGCTCCCGCGTCCTAGTTCTTGCAGTAGCAACCTTGATACGAGTATAAACGTATCCCTTTGCATTAACCCCCAAATCCCTACTAGTAAATTTGAGCGAGCGATCAGCCACCCCGCCATCATAGAACGGCTGATGTAGCTGTCCGCGCGCAAGCGGATACAACAGCTCTGGACCCAGACGAACAGAAGCCACAGGAACAGCAGAAATAACTTCACCCGAGACCAACGGAACCGAATCACCGACATCGATACCAGCAGCGCGCAAGTCCTCATCGTTACGGAGCTCGCTGATGCGATTGAGAGCCGTGTAAGTGCGGAATTCCCATGTTTCAAGCTCACGCACAGCTCTACGACTCATGTAATCCACGGCCTCGAAGTGTGAGAAGCCCATTCGTGCGAGTCTGGCGCGGCCAGAGGGGGTTTGCTCCAATCTTGTTACTCGCTCTTCAGCATCGACATAAGCGCTATTTCGTGCTGCTGTTGAAGAGGAAGCCCGATCTCCTGCAAGGAAGGCTGGTACATCTGCTCGAGGAATCATCGTAATCTTGGCTTTTTCATACAAAGGCTTTGCAGCAGATCTACGCACTGGTCTTACCTATTGTTAATTATTGTTAGCATTTGTTGGTTGGGAGTCCACGTGCAAACCACGTGCTCGAGGAAGTTTTGGGGAACATTGAACACAAAGGTCTGTGCGGGAACTTTTGCCGAGTAGTTTGAACAGAAAAAGGGGTTCTTAGATGAATGAAAACAACTTACTGGGAGACCAAGAGTGGTGCGCAACGCCATACTATGCTTTACACAGGCTGACTGTAATATCTCGAGAAACGCTCCATCAGGATGGACTTCCCATCCAAATGCCTCCGCGCCAAGCTGTGCCAATCCTTCAAAACCGCAATCAAGAACATCGAAGACAGCTAGAACAGGGAAACCGTTCAGATATTGGAAGCAATTGTTGGTGATTTCTTTGAAGTTTCGAAGCTTCAATATCCTCAGAACCTGGAAACCTTTGCTTTCAATTGCGGATTCGCTCCATGTTTTGATTACCCGGTCGCCGAAGCTGCTGTCGAATAATTTGCCGGTATTTTTGAGATGGTTGTCCTGCTTTGGGTTGATAACCTCAAGCGCTACTAGATTGGTGAGAGTTGATAGTTCGACCAAGTCCGAAGTACTAAAAGCAGTGGTAATAGACAAATGCACGAGATAGTCAAAAGTGGCTGAAGTAAGTGGCTTTGTATAGACGGACAAGGACGGAATTGGTTCTGTAATAGCATTGCTATATCGAAACTGGTTCAAAATAGCGCCTCTTTGTCGACCAAGAACCTTTGAAAAGGCCTTCCAGGTATTGAAACTATTCACACATCTAGAATTGAGCTATCAGTAAAAGATCTTGGTATTCGTGAGATGTAAAGTTTTCAAGATTAGTTGTACAGCGATAAGGAGATGTGAAGAAGGTATCATGTAAAGTTTCTCGATGCAAAGGCAAAGGCAAAGGGAAAAAAATCTGAACTAACCTCTTGGTCAACTCCCGCCAGATAAACTCGAGATGAAGTGGTGCCATATACTGAATGTTTTCATAAGTAATGTCGGCAACGTTCTTTACAATACTAGCAACTGCGAGCTGAATTAAACGCGGAACACCCGGTTTTCTGCGTCGTGTTGAGGAGATAATGGCTTCTTCGACAGTAATTGGTTCACCGTCATCCGAATCTTCCCATTGTTCTTCTAAAAGCTCTCTGAAGGTTTGTTAGATACTGGTAATGTGGTTGAATAAAATTAATGCAAAGGAAGAGTGAGGAACTCACTCAAATTGAAAATCCCAATGGTAATCAGATACTTGAAGTTCCCTTGATGTTGTTTCGTGGGATACTTGGCCTGACTCTGGATCAATTACTCGTCTTGGCCCAACTAACACACCTCGTGGGAGAGAACGAGAGGGTCGAAGAAGAATAAGTCGGCGAGCTCGCTCGCTACCTTCACGGAAGTAACCATTTATTCTTGTACCTAGTGACATATTTGCGATGGTCATACTTGCCATAGAGAGTTTTAAGGCGTGAAAGATTGATGACTGTGAGCAAAGAAGACGGCTTTTGGCGATCAAGACTGGTGACTTTGATTCCAGGAGATGTCGTTAGCTGATTGAAATTGCAGGAGATAACTTCGTAATGACAGCAACTCCAGGAGACGACTGTGAGTGCTTAAGACTGGTCACTGTGATTTCAGGAGATGTTTTTGGCTGATGAAATTACAAGAGACAGCTTCGTAACGACTGCGACTCCAGGAGACGACTGTGAGTAATTAAGATCAGTGACTGTGGTTCCAGAAGACAGCTTTAGGATTAATGACTGTAGTTAGCAGAGAATAGTTGAATCTCCTCAGCTACCTGCTGATTGAGATTGACGTCTACAGCTGCAGAAAGGACTGCGAGCTCTTTCATAAGCTGTTCAAATTGTCGGCTACAATTCCAGGAGACAGATTGAGATAAACTGTAAGTCGAAAGAGGGATATTTAAAGTTCTCCTATTACCTGCTGATTCGAATTGACACCTGTATCTGCAGAAAGGACTTCGAGTTCATTCGCAAACTGTTCAGATTGCAGTTCTGATTCCAGGGGAGAAACGAACCAACCTGATCGCAATCTACGACCGTAGCAGAACAAAATTGAGGAATATAATGGCAGGAACAAGACCCCAGAAGAATAAATCTAACAGTTAGAAATGCAAAGCAGCAGAAAAGAAATTTTGGTAAATGAAGATCGAGAATCAAAAGTCGCACAATGAGAAAGAATAAGCTATCAGAAATAGAATTCCAAGAGCTTTCGATGTGGATGTGTATGTATGATAAATGTACTTTAGTAATATGAAAATTGTTGAAGTGGAGGAAAACTGGATGTGGATGGGCTGATATTTGGAGAGACGGAGGAGGCGGCAATGAGGTGTCGATGTTATGACAATCCGGTGAAAAAACGGTTGCCTTAGAAAATTCGACGTGCCTTACCTCGCCTCCTACGTCTTATGAAAATTTCGAGAATTGATATCATCCCATCAGGGTTCTCATTCCATTTCATTTCATATCTTTTCTTTTTACTCACTTGGACAGAAACTTCGGAATACACGCGTGTGAAGCGTGTTTAACGTGATGTGAAGGGTGATGCATGACTCAACATCGTGGTTACATTTTTCCGTTCCGGTTCACCCAACACTTACCCTTCGAATTACGTTGCCGGTAGATTAATTGTTTTGAAAGGAATACCGGTAGTGAGTATGAAGGGGCTCCGGGTTAGCTTGAAATACTCTTTCCTTTACCGATCAAGTGAACAGCTCTCCCGAAGGAAATGGAGCCCTTTGGTCAATTTGCGATGTACCAACATAAAGGTAACCTCAAGGTTGGCCAGCGAGCAGTATACCCGGGCGGTGTAAATGAGCCGATGTAATTAACATGGTACATAGAACGAGTCCCTAGTGTCCAGTTAGGTAGTATCTATCTTCCCTGGCCGGTTCAAACAAGTGCGGTAGTGGCTGTAATCGTCATACATTGACTAAAACCTCGAAGAAAAGAACATCAGGGTGAAGTGGTGAGGAACGAAGTTTATATACCGGTACCCCTTTTCTTCCCCTTTTCAAATGAATATAGTAATCAGAGAGGTGGAGAGGAAGAGAAGGGGCCCACTCTATTCGCGCGTACCTATTGGTCGATCGAAGCATCTAATTCGTCGATCGAAAGGAGTTGCAGATCACGCATCGTCCGTTGAGTACACGGAAGCATGGAGGAGAACGATTATTGGCAGTGCTGGCGATATATGGAAGTCTGGAAGGCTGTCTGGACTCTGTATTTGAAAGAAAGTACCGTGGAGGATGGGAGCAGAGTGCTGTTGATATTACTCCTGGTCTTGCCATCGCAAATGATAAATCCAGGGAATGTGGTGGCCCTTTGCTCGATTTGCGATATATCGATGCACAATGGTACTAGTAACAACGAAATCGAGGAAGGGAGAAAGATATATGAAATGATGCGGTTTTTCTGATATATGATATGCATAGTGATCCAGCCAGGGAATATGTATCTCCCTATGCTGGAGTTTCGAAGAATGGTGGGTACTTTAGTTATTGAAGTTGGTTGTACGGTAGAAGAAAACATGTGGGTGATGGTTTTGAACGGGGTTTATATACAACCCTCCTGAACGAAACCATCGTGAATGTTATGGGAATTGATAACCCCGGTGCCGATATCAAAAATGCGAAAATGTGTTTGGAAGCGAGCGAAGTGTGGGCCTCGTCTCTGTGGGGGATGGACGATATAAATTTACTTTCCGGACTCAGGAGAATCCTTTTGGTCATTTTGTTTCTTAAGTGTTACTGGTATAGTAGTAGTAGATTCATAATCGATTTGATCTACATATAACGTGGTTTATCAGCGAGTGGATCATATCAGCGAGTGGATCACTTTTACCTCAATTTATCATTTTAAACTCATATTATTCAATAACAACTAAATCAATTGATTGAAACTATTAAGAATCTAATAATCTAGGATCTATTATACTATTTTGACAAGTTCTTGAATTATGACCAGTCTTCCCACATTTACTACAACATCGACTAATAGATGATTCCCCATTAGAATTTCCCCTATTTTGACGCTCATCGCATTGAATCTGATTATCAACCTTTTATTGTAATAATATATCTTTAGCTTCCTATCCAGTAAATATTCCTTCATTATGTAATTGAATTTTTTTTAGTGTGTCGATGTTTGCTTAATGTTTCATTTGTTTTTCGAAGTATACGATTCTCTATACTTAAAAATATATTCTCATGTACCAATCTCTCTGTATTTTTAGCTAATACTAATATAATTTCAAATATAGGTATAGGAGAGTTTGATTGATGACAAGCTATTCGAGATTTGACTAAAATCGATTATAAAAAAGCTTCGATTAGATTGTGAGGTGTTTGAGAGACCCAAGAATCGACAGATTCCAAGGGAGTAAATAAAGGGCTAGGTGTATGAATTCGAATATCTAATTTCGAAAGCACGGTTTAAGGGTCGAATGGTATTAGTCCTGCTCCTTGAAAGCCAGCTTTTATATTCTGAATTGTAATCGATTGTTGATATACAGCTTTGAAAGCTATAAAGAATTCAACCTTTGAGATATGATTGATATAAGCTTTGATAAATCCTTCAATCTAGGAACCATATAATCGTTTCAATATACTAAAGTATTCAACATTTAATGACTGAGTTAAATAATTTGAATACAATGATAATTTGAGGCATATAATATCATTTTCTGTATAGTATAATTGAAAAGATATCGATTCGTGACTTTCATGCCTATCCAATACTAGTATTCGATATTTGCCTATTCTTCAATAGATTGTATGTTTATCGAAATACTTTATCCATTCTAAACCCATCTCATTATTCGTTCATCTATTGCTAGTAGGTTTAATAACCCAATTTACTGGCAGATCGGTTTCGGTATATCAATTGGAAAGATGATATTGTCCTTGCACTACCAAAAATGGTAGTATAGTTTCATCTTCCCCATTACTATATATAATCGTCATAACCCATTCTCGATTGCCTGACTGTATTGCTTTGCTTCTACCACACTGTTCAGCATCAGTTACAATTATTCTAGGGCATATTATACCCATCATAAAACCGGTTTCATCGAAATTGTAAAAATCGCAATTCTGAATACTATATTTGACCCGCATATTCAATACTAATCGAAACCATTTTTCAATAAGCTCTGGATCTTTGCAGAAAACTCTTTGAAAATCATAAACACGATTAAAACATGTCTTTAGTTCTGAATGTTGTTTTACAAAGCAATGAGCCCAAAGTTTTCCAATCTTTTTCGCATTTCGCAATTTGAGAATATAATTCACCATATCTTCCATATCATTCAATTTAGGTACAAAACCTTTGTTGTCTATATCAATAATGTATTGAATAAGTATTTCCTCTTCTAATTCGGTCAATTTATAATTATTTACTCGAGCTTCGATATAAGGAGTTGAATTGTTCATTCTATGATTAAGAATAGTATATGGTATATTATATAGTTTAGCAGTCTTTTGAATGCTTAATTTTTTGTCTTTTTGAATAGTTTCAATAACTAAGAGTATTTGAGCCTCTTTATTATTTAATTGCATTATAAATGATTGATAAATCGCGTGTTGAAGTTGAAAGGAATAAATTGAGGTAAAAGTGATCCACTCGCTGATATGATCCACTCGCTGATAAACCACGTTAGCTAATGGTACGCGGACCATCCTTTTTATATAAGGAGTTAAAAATAATCCCCAGGGGATTTATATTGAGATGAACGATGAAAGAGAAAGAGCCAAGGAGAGGAGAGAAGATAGAGAACGGAGGATAAAGTATATACATCAGTGACATTATCGATAAAACCTACCTAGTCTGTTAATCTAAAGAACTAGCTAGAGTAAGAAAGGTTGCTTGCTTGCTTGGTACAGAGTTCTCACACCACACCTTTCATTTCATTTCACTCTCGAGTAGAAATAAGCGAATGTTATACCATCCCCATAGCCCATAGATCCCGCAACATCTACTCGTAAATCAATCAAGCACTTAAAAACGAGTCTAAAACAGAGGACAGACTATCCGGTCGTATATTTCACTAAAAGTAAGCAGGCATTATTTTATATTTTTCAGAATTGCCAAATAATGTCTATACCAGTACCAGTATCCACCATCATCCATCCATCCATCCATCCTCCCATCTCCTCCCCTCCCCTCCTCAAACCCCATCAAGTACTAATATAATAATACTATTTATTATCATCAAATTATTACTCAGTCTCTGTAATCCAAATCCAAATCCAAATCCAAATCCGCAGAGATATCACCCACTGCAGTAATTTTATATTATATTATATCATTTAATTTGTACTTTAAATAACAAGTTCCAAGTAACATAACAAATAACATAACAAGCAACAAACAACAAATATCCACAACTCCAGCCTTCCAGCCTTCCAGCCTTTTCTCACAAGACTCCGACTCCGACTCCGAGTCAAGACATTCAACTAACTCCGAGTCCCTTTCAAGTTCAATTGCCTCGAGACTCGAGTATCGGTAGTTTATAACCTTTATATCTATCATGATACTTATACGAGTACATCAATTTCAAAACATCGCTAGCTAGGTGATAATATAGTTACTACTCGTACTGTATAAGATAGAATGGAATGGTAGCTAATAGCTACGGGTAAATTACTAAGAATAAGGAAAGGGTTTGTAAGATTTAAGTTGAGTTGAGTTAAGTTGATTATATTATTCAATGAATGAATGATGTTGGGAAGCATTAGGGCATTGGGGAATTGGGGAATTGTGGAGTGTGGAATTAGAGAAAATGTACTAGTAACCTTACTGTATTATTTATCTCCAAAGAATGTTGAATTGAAAAACGTCACGTTACATCACGTCACAGAGGAGGGAATAAAAATGCAAGATCGCGAACACAATTATCAGGTAATGCGTTTTGTAACGTTATTGTGGAAGGGAATGTAGAGAGCGAAGTGGAGTGGTAGGCATATGTTGGAAGTACTCGAGTACACTCAAGTATTCATAATACAACACAACCCCGCTAGAGATTTTTAGAATTGCAGAAAATAGGTAGCTCTTTTAGTGCATGAACATGGTCTTCCCTTTTTTTTTCCATTTATAGTTTTTAGAATAAGATATCCAACGCAAGCAAATCTCCAGATACTACATACCACATACCACGATCTGCAATTTATCTGACTGTCTAATTCCCGTAATTGTATCCCCGTCTCCCAGTGAAAATCCCCACTCCCCACTCCTCTCTCATCTACCCTCTCATCTACCCTCTCATCTACCCTCCCCCTTCAAGTTTCCCCTCTATTCCCCCTCTCCACCACCCCAAAACCCAACCCTAAAACCCGACCCCTAAAACCCCCTCCTCAAATTCTCATACTTACTCTCCGGATACTCAATACAATTCTGACTTCCCTCCAGTATCCCCAAAACATCCACCACGTTATGAATTAGAGATTTATCCGGTTCGGGATGATCGGCTGAGGATTCCCACCACTGTTTTGGTTTGTGTGTTAGTATAGAGATGGAAGAATGGAAGAATGGAAGAATGGGATGGGGGAAATGGGAGTGAGGAAAGTGGGAGAGGGGAAAGTGGGAGATGGAAGAAGGGGATGGGGGAAAAGGGACAAGGAAGGAACAACATACCATGGCGCCACCGAGGCCTCTTTCCTTAATGTAATCAGCCTTCTTGCGGGCGATTTCGATCGTGTCGTATGATATGAGGGTTTTGGTGTTTTCGTTGTATGCTATTGGTATTTTGTTAACTTTCATTTCAACAAGACATCCAACTATCATCCGCATTACATCAATCGTCGACTCGAACCCAGACATCAAACCTAGATCAAAAGATAAAAAAACAGAAGAAACAGATCAACTCACAATAACTAGCACAAATCTCCTCATCCATGATTTCCACCGCTCCCTCCTGCGGCAACTTTTTAAAATCCCACACACCATTCTCCCAAGTCCCCTCCCCCACCCCACTAAACCCCTGACCCAGCCCATCCGTCGCCTGAAACGCCCTCCCATAAATCGGCATCCCAAGTACAATCTTATGACCCTGCACCCCTCTCTCCTCATAAGCCCTCACTGCATCCTCCGTATTATACGGTGTTGATCCCGGGTTTCCCCCACTTGCATGAACATTTGCCTGGTGTCCTGCAACGCTATCCCAACTCCCCGCATAATCATAGGCCATCAGGTTCCAAAAATCGAGATGTTGATCCATGCCGCTAATATCCATGTTATTGTAATTTTGAGGACCGGCGGGACAGGCTACTGTGAGCTCGAAATGGTGGGGATTGGGAAGAGTGCTGGAATAGCGATCCATGGCTTCCCTGCATTCTTGCAACAGTAATACGTAATCCCGGGCTTCGTTCTCGTTTTTGGGATATTCCCAATCGATGTCAATGCCATCGAATCCCAAATTTTTAATCAACTCCACCGCACTCTCCGCAAACTGCTTTCTTCCACTCTCGGTAGAAGCTGGCTGAGCAAAGTTGGATGAATATGTCCAACCGCCAATACTTAACAAGATCTTCAAAGAGCGATTTCGAGACTTGAGAATATTGAGCTGCTTCAAGCAACCATAGAGATTGGTCCCGACATCATTCCAGGAATCACCATCGAAATGAATATCGGTATCGGCCCAGCCATCCGTCATGTATACTTCACCTGACTCCGGGCGAACATTGGCAAAGGCATAGAGGATGTGTGTTAATTTTTCCGCAGGGAGATCCTGGGGTAGATGTTTTCGGCCATAGATTGCCCACTAGGAGTTATATTAGTGTTTGTTCTGTGATTTTCTCCCATACCTAAGCTCATGCATCACATCATATGATCTTCTTCCTCAACCTTGTCGAGCGGTGGGTGGAAATGACAAGATTATCATGTACACTTGTACAGCACCATCATTATAACAATCATCATCAATCCACCACTACCCAACCCAGGACATGAGAGCAAACTCCCCCCCATCTCCTTTCCCGCACCCCAAGATCACGCCCCCACCACATCATCATACCTCACCATACCTCACCATACCCTACCATCCCTTACCCACCAAACCACCCATACATACACAGCATCCCAAAAACATCAAACCCCAAACCCCAAATCAAACCTCAAAACAAACACAACATCTTACTCACATTAACAAAATACGCCACTGCGCGATATCCATCACCACCACCCATATTGACGTCTGAACTTTCTCCCTTGTACTTGTTTCCCTCACTCTCACTCACACTCTGACTCTCACTCTCACTCTCACTCTCACTCAAATAACTACCCTTTTCCTTTCCCTTTCCCTCACCAAATGCAAACTCAAACCCAACAATATTCCAAGCACCCGGTCCCTTCCTTAACGAAGTGAGGAGCGCGACGAAGAATACAAACAAAGGTAAGCTGATCGAGAAAAAAAGAATCTTCTTATTCTTATTTTTAATATGCATACGTCAATTTGAATCTCTATAATAAGATAGGATGGATAGATGGTATATATATTATTATCAAAGGATAAGCGGCACTTGACCTTAAGGTTACGCTTACCCAAATTCCCGAATCAGCAAACTTCCAACTCCAACTCCAATTACGTAATCCCCATTCTAATCCCCATTCCTCTACAACAAATAACCCAACTCCATCCATACATCCATACCCGTACACATCTATACCCCTCCATCTGCTCCTTCTGCACAGCAATTCCACAAAACCAAAACCAGAAACCCCAAATAAAAACAACCAATAACAAACCCCCAAACCTCTAAACCAAGAAAACCACACACCCACCATTACCACCAACAAATATCACAGAACCAATAGAAGTAAATCCAAACCCTGTACTCCGTACCGAGAAGTATTATTGTACATATGCCCAGAAAAACCCAAGACATGCAATGCGATGCACATCGACGTGTACAAAAGGGATGCCCCCTCTGACCCCTCTGACTCTGAACCCCTCTGAACCCCCTCTGAACCCTTGTATTCGTTTTCGTTTTCTTTTCGTTTCGTCATAGTTTCACTCAGCTCAGCCCTGCTGCGGGTGGGTGACCTGCGGGGTTTAGATACTTATATAATACGGGCGGGAGTACGGGTCAAAGTTAACAGTAACAAGAACCAACTCTAACTGTGTACAATTAACTATTGATGGGTACCTAGGTAGCTATTGGTATCGGTTGTTTCTATACATACTCTAATACCGGTACAGTACTTCATTCATAAGACTCACCTTCTACTTCCAAATGCATCGCAGCAGCTTCATCACTTCGCTAATTCATCATTGAAAAATATTTACTCGAGCACAGTAGGTCTATTCACACTCACTCTTCACAGCTTTGCACATTAGATCCGGCATATCCGTAATATAATTTTATTCTCGATTCTATATATTATATTCTCCAACCACAAGTCTTCTTCCATCATGTGAACCTAAAAGAGCGATTGCTCGCGCCTCGCAGACAGCCTCGTATAACATCTTGCCCAGCCTCCGTGGCGCCACATATGGATATTACATTGTGGCTGAAGCCGGTATTACTGCTTGACAGAATTCTTGATAATTATATGTATATGTACCGGTACTGAGATTCAATAACCATCTCATCATTATTCCTTCGGTATATTCTTCGGCGGTGGCGGCGGCGGCTGATAAACCACCATCTCTCTCCCCTTCCCACCCCCACCCCCATCCCCATCCCCATCCCTCCGACTTTCACTTCCCCCCACCCCCTTCACCTGCAAACCCCTCCCAAAACCCTCACCCCTCAAATCCCTCCTCTGCCTCCAAAAAAACCCACTAATCCTCTCCTCCCTACTCCCCACCCTATACATATCCATATCCTCCCTCCCTCTCCTCGCCCTCAACTCCCTACTCATCCCCTCATGCACCCTATCCCTCCTCTCCACCCACCCCGCCTCATACTCCTCGAACCTCGTCAACTGTCCCAAACCCCCTAGCACCACAAAAACCGCTATCAACCACACAAACGCACCATTTGATACGAATCTCGGTTCCTGCTTCCCCTTTGCGTCGCGCTTATGCCATTTTTCCCAATCCTCCCACGTTGCATTTTGGCTTGGTCCGTTGGGGCCCGTCCACCCTCTATATTCCCCATGTTTATCGCGAGGATCGAGGGCTTCGGGTGATCCGTTCCAGCCTGCTCCATATGTATCGTATGCACTGCGTTTGACGACATCGGAGAGGATATCATTGGCCGCAATAACCAATCGATAACGCGACAATTTCGTATCGTAACTTAAGCCCTCATTGGTATCAATATCAATGCCATGTTTATCCGGATGATACAATTTGACCAATTCGTAAAAGCGACGTTTAGAATACGGAGAACTTTTCTTCTGATTGAAAATTTGGTAGGGCGTAGGAATGGCATGTGCGGAGGTCAATTCGGGCCATCGTAGTCCTCCATGTTGATTTGCGCTTCGTCCATCGGATACTATGGCATATGTTCGTCGTTGGTGCAGGCATTGTTGGTGCAGATGTTGAGGTTGGTGATTCTGGGATGCAAAGAGATAAGATTGTGACGTCGTAGATTTATGGGATGATGATGCATAATAGCATTGCAGGTTACTGCGTGATGAGAGTAGAATTCCTGACTTCTTTAGCATACTGTAATTGAAGCAAAGCGCCAGTATGATGACTGCTACAGTTTGACCATGTCGAGAGAAGACGTTGATGTTTCTAGTGTTCTTTGGATATTCTAACATCGATATCAACGGGTCCCCTCGGAAGCTTGTCTCGATCATTGATTCATTGATTAGCCTAAGTATGGTGACCTCCAGAGACAATGTGCGACATATGAAAAAACAATTATGTTGAAGGTTATGTTTCTATTTCGACATTTAATTGTAAAATTGATATTCAAAATCTAAGATTGGAGTTTGAGTCTATCATCAAAATACTAATTAACTTGTTAATTTTAATCATTTTAGATATATATCTCTCTCAGGCGACACAATACAGGCCAGCATACAACTTCATTTTTGTATCTTGTCTCTACCTAGCTAGTACTTTTGCCAATTAGTATTTCACATACAGTACTTATCATCATCACAGTCACGATCAATTCAATTCCAATCGATAAAAGATTTAACAAAAATATTACTACTCATTCATGATATTACATTTAAAATTCTTGTCTTCGTCCTCGTCTTTGTCCTTGTCCTATCCTCACATTAAGATGGACCTGACCTAACGCGCCTATCACACAATCATATATCCATGCCTTAGTTGTGCTTGTCGCATTTCCCATTCATTCCCAAAACAGATCCCATCCATCCAGCCAGCCATCCATCCCCAAAAAAAAAAAAAAAGGAAAGAGGTCAGGCATAATCGACATCCAGTAAATCCCCCATCTTCCCTTCCCTTCCCTTCCCAATTCCAATCCCAACCTCATATCTTCAGTAAACATCATGTCAAGGTAGAGATCTTCCTTGAGTCATCTACCCTTCTGACCAATTGCAAAATCCTATCATATCACTTCTCCGGACCAGCCAGACCAAACATTTTCAGCTTCTCGCTCCAAATGAATTATTTGCTCGTCAACCCGAAGAAGGCACCCGAAAACGAACCGAAAAAAAGAAAAGACGAGGACGCAAGAAACATCTTCACGACTACCACCCATTAAAACAAGATATATCGGGAAAATTAGACAAAGAGAAAAGGTATAAAGCTTGCGTCTGCACAATATGAGGGAATCGTCATGTACGCCATCAAAAAACCATGCCACCAGGTATATCCGAGTTCAAAACACACAACTCCCACAATCCACCACCCAGAACTATCGGTGACTTTATAGGCATAAAGAATGTTCATACAACCTGCAATCGAGCTAGTAATCGGAAGCAGGTATTTTCGTCCAAGGAAATGCGTCCATAATTAAGAGGATGCGGGATGGTTTAGTTCTACCATCCTTTCTTTCTGGCGAAACGTTTGTTCAGGAGAGCAAGAACTTTCGGTACGTTAAATTGGACATACTCAAGGTCGAGATCTTCTTGATTATCCTTCTGCATCTCGAGCAAATCATCAAGTTTGAGATCAAGCTCCAATAAACCACGATTTCGTCCTAGTAAATTTAGCATTAATTTAACGAAGAATGAGAAAATGTTCCATACCTTTGTAATGTAAGGAGATGACGAAAGTACCCGGTAAAGGACTAGTGAAGTTGAAATAGATATTTGCTCTTCTGTTATCAGGCACGTTACTCTTTTGTATAACCCCTTGTTTCTCCAACTCCTGATGTGTGAATTTGTATGGTCCCAGAACTTGATGCTTTTGTTGCTTTCGTTTGGTTCCTTCACTTTGACTGCGAACATTGTGCAGATAACTCTTGTAAGTTTCCAATTGACCGACAAGGTAAGTGTTGTGATCTCGAATTGTCTTGAAGACTTGGTCGAGTTTTTGGGTTTCAATGATAACTCCATCTTTGAGGGACCCAAGATGTTGAAGTTCTTGTTCGACTTCATCTCTCAAAAGGCTGAATTGATCTGATTTGTCGATGACCCCCAGCTCCTGTAACTGGCTCAATAATTCCATGGCCCGGATGCCCTTTCTTACCATGACAGCGTCATTGCGATATTGACCTGCGGCATCAGCAACTTTTTCGAGGCGAAGTGGTCTTCGTGCCACAGCACTATTGCTTGGAATTGATCTCATGATTTGAACGAATGTCGATTTAGCTTCCATGAAGAAAACCTCCTCCTGAGTGATATCCAGTGCAGCTGTCAGATCATCAATTGCCGTTTCCCATTTGCTGAAAAGTGGCAAGTTAATAGCTCTGTTGTCCTTTCTAGGCAGTTGTGCTGGGGCGGGTCCTAAATCGGCCAAGATAACTGCCAAATGTGAGTTCTCATCCTTGTTGAGTTCAGCAGTGTGTTTGTCGAGTAAAGCGTGGGTAGCATAAACTTCGTTGAGGGTAATCGATAGCTCCAAATCCTTTTTAGATAGTGCTACATAGTTGTCCATTTCCAAACTTTCGTAAAAATCCTGAACTTCACAAAGATCAAGCATGAACTTGTTAACTCTCTCCTTGTTGTGCTGAATGAATGGTTGAAGTTTAGCCATATATGGTTCCTTTGCGTATGAGGGTTTGTTGGCAAGGTTTTGAAGCATCTTTGCAATCAAGGTCAAAGTTCGGCGAGGTCGGTCAGCTGGAGTTCCATCGATGAGCATATATGACTTGGGGGTGACAATGGCCGGGTTAATGAATCGCAAGAAAAAGAATCCTCCGATGAGTGTGCAAATCGCTTGGTCATTAGCATCCGGATATTTTCTCTTAGTGAGGCTTCGAATCTGCTTGCAAATCCATCGGATCCCATATGGCGTTTCCTCTAACCCATCGATAATTGTTGTTAGGAATCCATTCGCAATTTCCATAAGCATTGTCAGTCGTGGCTCGATGATCGCCTGTACCTGGGTATTATCCGCTGCCTGCTCTGCCGTTACTCCTCGGGGTAGGGAAGCCGGAAGTCCTCCTGTCTCCAGCTCAATCTGTGCGATCATTGTCTCATATACCTTGAGGGGATTGATCTCCAGGTCGAGGTCCTTCAACTCAATAAGTCCATTGATTCTGTCTGCCAATACTGTTTTCAAATAACTCTGTCCAGGACCTCTCCTAGTATATGTAGTCATCATGCGAGATACTGGTGTGTTCGCTCGGAGGAGGGAGGAGTATTCAGGGGTATTGTCGAATTGGTAGGTCAAGACAGACTATAAAATGAACATCAGCAGTGAAAATAACTCAATACAGACCAAAGGTAGCTTACCTGAAACATAGTTAAAAGAAGATGCTCTTCACGACTCTCATATTGGTTTCCATAGATTGTAAACATGACAGTCTGCAGTAAAGAATCAATCTCGGCCATGGTAACAAGGCGACAAAGATGTGCGATATGCCGAGGCTCTGATTGAAGCAAGAATAAAAGATTGCCATATTTTTGGGTCTTTTCGTCGTTTGGGAAAAAACCTTCTTGTAAGTCTGCGGCATCTTCTAAACGACTAGCTACTTCATTTTGCTGAAAGAACGTTAGTGATGAAACATACACTGTTGAGAATATTTTTGTACCTCTTCCAAAGCCATGCGGTTCTGGATCAACAATGCTATTCTTGAATCCAAATATCTAACATCTTTCTCCAAAACAAAATTCTTCTTTGACTGAGAAGATATCTTTGATTTGAGTTCTCGCAGAACCTTTTGTGCTACACCGATCTATCAGTACAATAAGCAAACCAATTGCACCAAAACTCTCACCTTTTGCAAGATCATCCTCAATTTCCAAATCTTTCTCATTCGCAGACATAGACAGATATAAGGTAGTCATAGAATATCTCTTTGATTGTCGGGCAGAGCGAGCCCCATCGTGTGAAGACATGGTGTTTTGTCGGGAAACTGGTTGAAAAGAAGATGATGAGGCTGTTGATGCCCGAGAAGGCGTCTGAAGCATTACACTCATATCTTTTGTTGACCGTGTGACAACGGATTTCTATAGATTAAGTGGGAATTCCTATGTCTTTTGTTGTACTTTGACGGGATCTTTGATACACAGTGTTGTGCAAAATGAACAAAGAGATTTGTTGATCTCTTTTACCGTGGTTAGTAGAAAGATAGAACTGATAAGAATCAAGATTATAATAGAATGCTTTAACAGTATAGTATGTATGTATTTAATACTTTAAAAATCGAAAGACTGGACAATAATTGAAATTAAGCAAGTTTTGAAAGAGAGATATTATCGTAAGGTAAGAGAGTGAATGTATGCGATTGATGCGATTGTTTCGATTGTTTCGGTTGAGAAGGGCTTTGAGGGTTTGGCAAAAATCTGATTTGTGAAGGAGGGCAGGCTTGTTAATTGACCAGATCGACCAGCGAGCCGCTCTGGTTTTCAACCCAAATTAGTTATTGAAAAATCTTTTAAACAAAGTGCAATCCTTTGATAAAAATATCGATTATTGAGATAGATATCTGGGTTGTTTTGTCCTCTTGTTGTCTTGTCGTCTTGTCCTGTCGCCTTGTCGCAATAAATTCCACATGCAGGAGGTGAATTCCCGTCCGATGTATACAGATAACTTGGTAGAAGTCAAAAGTGAAGGGGTTTGATGGGTTGGCTAGATATAGAATTTGGTATATCTATTGAAACAATGTCGAGGAATTGATTCAAGGTTTGTATGTAGTGTTGCAAATTTGCGAATTGTATTATTGTTAATTGTGTAATCGAGTAGTTGACATAGGAATAGAGTGTATAATGGTATATAGCTTATCGGAAGGAAGGAAACGAATGGGTGGATGGATGGATGTATATGATTATTTTGATGAATGATAAAGGAACGACTGGTGAGATGATGCTATGCAGCTAAGATGATGAGTGGAACTTTCTGTTTGGCGGGATAGAACAGATGAGGGGGGGAGAAGAGGGGGTTTTTCTGCAGTATGAATATAATGCTGGCAACAAGTAGTTTGTGTGTGGAAAAGGAGGGTGAATGAAGGTTGAAGAAGGGAAGGCCGAGTTGTGATGAATCAAAATGAAGACTTGGCTTGCTTGTATACTAACTAGTAAAAGGGATTCGCACATATGAAACATCTAAGTTGTCAGGGGTGTGTATATAAAATCAGGTACAAGATAGGTTATTATAATTATAAAAACCTATTGAAATCATGAAAAAAGTAATGGCTATTTTATTTTCTATTTATATCAATCAAACAAATCTATTCGAGCAATATACGGAAACAGAGTTCGCTAAGAGTATAGGAAAATCCAAGGAAGTATCAAAAATTATTTTGCACAATCACATATAGGCTAATTGAAGATAACTACCGCTATATGTACTGAAGTCCTTTGATACATCCTCAATATAACCAATTCTCTCACGGGTGATAATTTATTAGGTTGGTTGTCTTCAGAAAACATATATGATCTAGTTCACGTAGGTTAATATCAACACTCAATCAATACTCCCTCAATCCTCCTTTTCCTTTACGATCACCTCGTCTCCCTCGTCTCCCCATAAGATGTCTCTCTCCCGCAAAAAAGGGAGGCTGCATCCATTCAATACCGGTCTGTATTCTCCGATCATCTTAAACTCTCCAGGAAACGAATCCAACCTTGATCCATTGGTCCCCCCCGAGCATTCTTTCAAGATTAGCATTGAGGAAGATGCGACGCTCACACGTGGCATTTATCGCCCTACCACCTCATTGGGATGATTCTTCGATGGCGCAGCTGTATAACATAACCATACCATAGGAACTAAAAATGGCAAAATTTGGCTCGGATTCCCTACCGCCAATCCACGTTGTTGGAGACGCAGAAACCCCGAAATAGGACTTGGGAGGAATTGTTGGTGGCATATCTGTTATGTCGGGTCCCTTTTGTGCTGGGGAATTGTATTGTTGGGTTGTATTGGGGTTGGTATTGGAGTTGGTGGTACTGAGTACGATGATATTATTGGGTGGTACAAAGTACTTGAGATATATATGGCGTGAGTTATGGAATTTATTATTGTCGCAATATTTCATGGGGAAGGATGAATGACCTCGAGAGGACATGTACCTAGTAGGTATTATCGGAGATTTATTTACTTTATTTCTATAGTTCTTACTATTGGTGCACTCAGTATATTATTCAGTAGTGAGGAAGGAAGTCTACTCGAGTACTAGACAGTGAGGAATCAATACCACAAGTACCTGGGTAGTGTTTGAGAATGGTTCTAAACTATTTTACTAGATACAATTCTAACAACTAACTCATCATACCATTCATACATACTTTGAATTATACATCCATCGCATATTCAACAATCCTCTTGAGAACATCATTTAACTACATCTGTAAATACTGTATCTAAATCCAAATCCAAATGCATACTAAACACAATCCATATCCTTTTGTGGAACCCACTTGTGAATCTTGTACCTGACTAAAAATCCCTGACGGCGGCGCGATATGAACTCTAGTGAGAACCGATCAAATGGCGATCTGTCAATGTGGCACCGCAAATGTTCTCCGCAGAACCCGCTTCAAAGTTCCAACTTCCAACTTCCAACCCTATTCTGTTCTCCCGCCGTCCCAAACTTCTTACGTACAGCTAGAGCTAGGTCGTTCCGTCTGCAACGAACTTCATCAAGTTTATGCTTTGGAACTTCAACTTCGGCTATTATCCAAATCCAGCCCTGCTTTCAATATTCAAGCATTTGATATAGACACTTTGGGGAAAAACTGTGCTCCTAATCCGTTTAATCAGTTCATGCTCGCAAGGAGCAGCATACCCAATCCATCTCTCGACCGAACCACTCGACCTTAAAATTGCTCATAACATCCGTCCACTAAACCTTTTTCTATATGTCAAAGCATCAAAAGGACACCAACGCTATCCCAATTCAATTCCCTTGTTGACGTTTCAGGGGTATCTGCTTGCTTGGCTGAGATTAAGATAGGCCGTGCGCTTCCTTCTGTTGTTCATGTGTTCAACAAAATAGCCCGGGGTTTCTTTTTCGTTGGCAATGCTTTCTTTGCTCTGCCATATGTGATATTTTAATTCGTTACCAGAAGGAATTGCTGGTGTATATTGCACAATAGATTCATCCTCTTATCACTATACCCTACGATGCTAAAGTTTAGCATCGCATCTAACTAAAGCTTCATCATAAGTTCACCCACTATCAAAGAGTACGTACTGTACATCCTTATCTCTTCCACCCCCTTCATCCACAATAACCGAATGCCACCGCCAATACAATACTGTAGATCAGCGTTTATGATATCATCATCAAACATTATTTAAACCTTCGCTTCGTTTCTTCAATTTCTCTCGTAGATCCTCTTTCAAGCAAGCGAAGCATCAAGCATCAAGCATCAAGCATGTCACTGGCCAACCAACCGACATAACTCTGTAAATGTCTCGGACGACTGAATAACATCGTTCCATCACGACAGCAAATAACGTTCTTGATATTGACAGGCCAGCACGGTAGGAAATACCGTATGCTTCTTTTCCTATCCACAATTTCCAATAGCCGCTTCAAAATATCGCAAGACGCGCGATAAAAGTTAAATGGGAGGGATAATATGGGATAATAGGCAAAATGCAGTGCCCGTACGGATGTTCCCGTTATACCTCCACTCTTATACATCCCATCCATGTTCATCAACTCCATCTACTTACATCTGCGTCTGCGTCTGCGTCTGCATCTGCATCTGCGTCTGTATTCACATCTTCTCAAACATATATGCAATGCGCGACCATTTCTCTCGACGGTGTCTTATGGCGAGACACCGGGATCACTGATATAAGGTTTTAAATACTCAGGAACAAGAGCAATTTCCCCTAAAACTTTCTCTTATGATCTAGACTTCTAGCATATGAATAGATATGTATGCATGTATGTATGATAGATAGGTAAGTGATGACATTTTAATATCTAGGATCTCTAGTATCGAAATACTGATCTTCTAAATATCGCATCATAAAGACTAAAATGCAAACAATTACCCGTACAGTATTGTCCTTTAGAGGTTTAATCATATGGAATCCAGTTAAATAACCCATCGACTCAACTTACTCTTTGAGCTCTCCAATCGTCAATTTTTAAGCTAAGCTAACACAACCAGACCTCATTGATCCACCTAGCTCATACTCGGGCCATACCATATCGTACTGCAAATAGTTTAACAGTAACTGTACAGCACGCATAGTACAGCGAACCTAGAAACTCTCCTACCGCCTCCAGCTACACCAACCTCCCCCTTCCCATCCCATCCCATCTCATCCCGACATTATCCCAGTATCCTCCATCGCTAACATCGCACCACCTACCCGCCCGTCTTTACCGACAGACAGACAGACATACAATACAGACAAACAGACAAACACCACTTCCAGAACACATCGGACTCTTCTCTTTCTCCCCTCTTCCGATCCAACAACCTGTATGCAGTGTCCTATCTTGTAAATCAATGGAATACAATAGAATACAATAGAATGAAGACAATAGAACACAACATATTGGCAAGTTCCGAACGGGTATTTCCCTGGGGGCTGGGTCGAACAGGTCATGCGGCTTTCCGTTGGCGGTTTCATGTATATACCGCTGGGTTGGAACTTGGATGGGTGCTGCTGTACCCCGGATTGCTTTGTGTTGCTTTGGATTGGATTGGTGTCGTGTTGTACGGCTGGATTGATTTAGATTGGATTGAATGGTTTTGTGCGCTTGCTTGTCTGGTGTTTGTGGGTGTGTATTGGTGTAGTACTACAGTGAGTTAGGAATTACCGTGATGGATTGATGGTAATGAATTGTGGATGAGATTTGTGGCGTTGGAGATGAGATGGGTTGGGCTAGGTAAGTAGGTATGTTGTTTGTGAAGATGTCGATTTTGATGGGAGAGAACTGAGATGAGATGAGATGAGATGGACGAAAGAATGTTTCATTATTTTTGATTGAGGAGGGAGCAAAGGATAAGAATATTGCTCATGGCATACTATTCAACTGCGAGTTCTTAACGAATCCCCATCTCCGATGAACTTTCAAAGTTGGTACAAAGTATGAAGAGAGACACCCGGAAATAAAGGGAATATTTTTCCTCATTCTTCTCATACCTTTCATCTTCTGCATTTCAATCCAGGGTATCGGTATCCTATCTTGTACTCTACCGGTAGTTCTCTCTTCTATTTTCTCACTACTCTACTTCTTACTATTCCTCTTCTTCGCTCGCACTCCTCCACCTCCACCCCGATATCGATAATTAAAATGTGCGCGAGACTTGCAGAATCGACTCTTGAGCTAACTGTCACAGTCACAGTATAGTATCACAGTACAGTATCACATCATATCATATGATACTACTTACTCAATCTTACCGACATTGCCTATCGCTCATTGGATTGGACTCATTGCCGGTGTAACACTTTGTTTGTGGTGAGGAGAGAGAATTCATGATGGAAGATATAATACCGGTATACATTTCAAATTCTTTGAAGAATATTGAACAATAACCTTACACCGCATAGTATCATCAGAACTACACGAGTAGATGTACTGTATGTATATGACTGAAATTCAACAAGATATGCCATGATCTAATCTGATACTATGGGTCAATATGATATGAAAGGCACATTATGTCCTCTCAGCTGATCTATACTCTGCTTTATATTGCGTCTGAGATAGTTCTGACGTGATGGGTCCTGACTGATTAAGTAATGCTTTTTCTCCTTCAATTACATTGTTCTTTGTTCTTCCATCCCCCACACAATCTTTACATAAATCTTACATTTTCCTCCATCACTCATTGAGAAACTTACGGTGTTTGGATTTTGACTTGGATTTGGATGTACACTGGGATTGGCGGAGATTGTGATTTCGGTGTCAAGCTCTGGACTCCGGATATCGATGCTGTTGACTTCTTCTTCTTCTTCTTCTGGTTCTCTTTCTTTAAATGATTCTCTTCCTTCAATTGACACACGTTGTTCACTTCGTTCAATCATAAGATATCCGTATTCCATATCTTGAACATCGAATATATACTCCGCGTTTCCGATGAAGAGGATGATTGAGTCTACAGGCATGTTGGGTGAGATGGGAAGTTTGAGGGGGAGGTCGTGAAGGCGGTATTGGTATGTGGAGTTTGGGCGGAGTTTGTTTGGACTGATTGAAAATTCGGACAGGGACTTTGAGATGATTGGAGAAGATGTATGTGTCGCTTCTATTGTTGTGTGCTTGATGGGAGTTTGAGGACGCGGTGGCGTGGAGTCGGGAATTGTACGGAATTTCAGATTGGTCTCTTTGGTTTGGACTTCGATTTGTTTTGGTTGTATGTTAGGGCTTACTGGAACACTCATTTCGATCGAATTGATGGGAATCTCTGTCATATCATTGGTCAGGCTGTTCTGAGATCCAGTTATAGGTAAGTGGCGCACCGTACTGCCATCTTGCTCTTCGACTTCGAGGTTAATAAAACTTGGTGATCTGGCATTGGAATGGGATGCGGCCTCGGAGCTATTTGGGTCGCTCGATCCGTCTTCTTCTGTTTCGGTACCTTTCGGCTCTAAATGGTCCATTTTGACTTCATGCAGCTCAGTCTTGGCGATCTTTGGAAGACTCAATCCAGATGATTTGGCACTTTCCGGGAGCATCAATAAATGGATTCTGCTCTCTGCACCATTACCTTCGTAATTGACAGGACGTGTCCAAGTTCTCGCCAGATCAAGTATCTCGCAAGTCATATCCTTCAAGATGTTATCCAACTTATCTATATGCAATCCTGTCATCCAAGGCTCTTCTGGTACCGTCCATTTTCTATACAAGCGCTTGTGAGAATGCGAGATATGAAACTCGCCATGCTTGCTGATAAATAAATCGCACAGGAAACAAGCGGATTTACTGGATCCTATACATCTTGGTGCAGGATTTCTGGGGTGTTGCTCATAATATAGGATTAATTGTATTTCGCCATGAACATAATGTTTCGCAGTCTCTCTATTGGGATGTGAGGCTGTTGGCGCGATGAGGGGTTCGAGGGTAATGTTACAGAATAGAGGTTGGTATTTTGGCTTACGACATAGATCCAACAAGTAATTACAGACGTCTAGGTATCGACTTATTTTATCGATTTTAAGTACAGTGGCATGCTGGGAAATTTCCGCACCGAAGCCACGAGAATGGAGGTAGTGTTCCAGTGAAGGACTTCCAGCGATGGTGGATATTGCGTGACTGGACGATATAGCCTGTCGTAATAGCTTCGTTTGTTCGGATATGGGACATTCATCGATGTCCTTGAGAGCTTGTATGAGATGAGGGAGGTTCGTCACCAGAGGTTGAATTGATACTTTCAGTTGAGATGACTGAGAATTGAGGGAATCCCGGAAATGCTGAATCCGAGCATGTAAAGGCTTTTTATTTGTTCTGCGTGACCACCTTCTTTCGCGAGCCTGCCGGGAGCTGATGCGACAATGTAAGCGGATCATACTAAGCTCGATAACCTGGTTGAATAATAAGTATTCGTGTTCATCACGGTCAGTGCCTACATCCACTCACGCGTCAGTACGTTCTCTCTCTCAATCAATAAGTGCCTCCAAACCTACCAGTCTTCGCAAAGTTCTCCACAGTTTTCAAAATATCCATCAAGCCAGAAGTAGTCTTAACAGCCGGCGTTTTATTAGAAGCAAGCCGGATGAGTAGAGAAGCTGGACTCCTCGATTCCTCGATCGCGACCGCTGAGACGCGAGAGGGATCTGGGGAGGCTTGAGCGAGGAATGCGAGATGATCTGCCAGATGTTGTTCTTCTTCATGGAGAAGAATGTACTTGGATGATTGAGCATGGGCAGTCCCTATTCCTCTGTAGTTCACGGGATTGCGAGGCTCATCGGTTTTGGCAATGAGTATTTTGACGGCTTTGTGGAAGTGAGGTTTGAATATTAGAGTAGGTATGAGACGCTGGACGGAATTTGTCATGTTGGTGGAAGGCAAGCATGTACAGTATGTGCTGGCTGATAGCTGATTAGATTCTGGGGTTTGAATAGCTGACGGATGTTATATGATCAAAGTGGAAAGTTAGTCCAAGGTTTAATTGTAAAATGTTGTGTGGTTTTCATTAATGGGACAGGCAAACAAACAAACATACAAACAGATAGGCATGCAATCAATACTCTCGAGGTATCGGCAGGGTGCATACAAGTACTATTGTTCCATTCGTTGAATCTCGAGCCGTCGTACAAGTGTAACCCGATTTCTGCCATAGCCTCGGATACATTTTCTTTTGTCGATTTACATTTCCATGACTTGTTCATTAAAATTATACTACTTTCACAAATGCTATGTTCTCACATTGTTATTTATATCACATCACATTGGTACAGATTATATTTTGGGTTCCTTCAAGGAAACAATTGATTATTTTTTGGGTGTTTTGTTGGTTTTTCTATCAATAAACGCCAGGCATTTCCTGTCTATTACAAATGAAAAACTCTGTTTTTGTGTTTTGATTTGAGGTTTCTTTTTCAATCAATGAACTCAGATGAACGCCAGGCATATCCTATCTATTACAAAAGAAAACCGTGCTTTGGGGATCCAGGTTTCAATTTTCAAACCCTCTCCTCTTCATTCTCCTTATTCATTCTCGTTCATGACCTCTGGTCACAACCTTCAAAATGTTCATCGAACACTCAAATCATCACCCAACTGTCTTCCTGGTCCTCAGCCTCATTCGAATTCCCATCGTCACTGTCGTTGTTGACATGAGGAACAGGTCGGCGGATCATGGCGGCATGAGGGTTTGGATGGCTACAAGCGAAAAAATGTTGGCTTCGACAACGGCAAGCAACGACCTGTATGCTCTGACCATTGCAAATGAAGCAATGCATCGAGGATCCACCATCTCTGTTGTCGCTTGAATACAATGGGACGGACTCAGGGGTGGTGCTGAATGGTCCATCGATTTCTGAGGTGTCAATGAAACATTCATCGTAGTGTCTTGGTCTTGTTTCATATTCCTCTTCGAAATCTGAGTTGTGCTTCGAATTCATTGTCATCGTCGTCATCGATATACTCATGGCGATAGATGTTGATGTGTGGTTCATCGTCATCCTCGTCATCGATATTCTCATGGCGATAGATGTGGATGTGTAGTTCATCGTCATCCTCACGGCGAGCGATACCGGCGGACCATCCATCGTAGGTTTCTGGTCGTGACTCATTATACATGGCGAGTTCTTCGCTAGGGATGTCACGGATAAAGATAGCTTTGTGTTCGTCTTCATCGTCTTCATCGTCATCCTCGTGCGGAGGGTTGTCGGTGGATACTTCATAGACATCCTCGTTCGGTGGGTCGTCTCTATATGCCTCATCGTGATCGCTGTCATCCTCGGCGGGAGTGATGCCGGCGAGTGCTTCTTCGTGAGCTCTAATACGTGCCATCGCAGCTTGCGTCACATCACTTCCTCCACGGAAAACGGCAGAACCACTCGAATACATCTTGCTGATTGATGAGCTTTTCCTGATTTTTGATCTGGAAGTTGAAATGTTGTGTTGTTGAATTGTGGGTATGGGTGCGGGGACTGTGTGTGTGTGGAATGAATGAATGGGAGAACGATAGGGGAGATAAATCTTATTTTTATAGGCAATGAGAGTGTTCTGAAAAGTATTGTTCCGGATGTGTTCTGGGAGTGTTCTGAGATTTGGAAAGCAGAGGGGTAGTCACGAAATCAATATTAGTCTTGGCTGTTCGCTTAGCGAAAGGGGGTTTAATCGATATTTGCATTGTTCACATCTTGTTCAATATTTCTATATCACTTTTTCGGACTAGTTGGCGAGTATAGTATGTGGCTTGGAGGAAGAGAAAGTCATGTACTAACGCTGCGCTGGACTTGTCAATTGTGTTCATACTATAGTGGTTGCAATATTCTCGATTTCCCCTTCTATATAGTATCAAATAAAGCTTGAACACGATAAGATAATTGTAGTGGAATCGCACGAGCTAAGTTAGTAATCTTTAAGTTTGAGATATTCCAATGCATTTAGAACTTTTTCTCTCATTTTCGTAATAATTCTGTAGTGCTTTTCCGCATGCTCGAGTAGATCTTATTCATCTATTCAGTACTCAATGAAGAGAGCATTGATTAATACTCGTACTAATATGTGAAAAATAGTGTTTGATTTCTGATAATTGAATAGATTAACAGTACAGTACATATTTTTAAGAGTCCAATAACTCAAACCACTACTTTTATTATTCAACAATCTAGCTCAAAACCAACAACAGCAAATCATCCAAACCAAAACATCCCAATCCCATCTCATTTCACCTCTTTGTAAAAATCTTCCACAACCCCAAGAAATCAGTTTTCGCTAAATCCCCAGCACAAACAAACCCCCACTGTCCCGGACAGCGGAACCATTCTTTCCCCAACCCCGAGCAACCAACCAATATTCTAGAATCCTCGTGACTTACTAAGGTTGCTCTTTGAAATCTATTGTTGCATATCTGATTCTTGACATTTTGCCTTGAGGAGCTGTTGGAAGAAACCAGGACAAAAATTGATAAATTTTAAAAATTGGAATTTTGGTTTTTCGAAGATTGCCTTTTGGAAAGGGGGTTTGGGAGGTACTGGGAAGTTTATTTGGAAAGGAAGGAGGGGAGTCTGATTGTGGATGGGTGAAGATTGTCTGTCGGTGCGCATAATGAGGATGAGATGAGGTGGAGGTGGAAGTGTTGGTGGTTGAAGAAGAGGAACAAAGATCGGAACAAGGGGCTTTGTTTGGTTCTAGGCATAGAATTGTCCATATGCTTCTGTTCTGGCTGGCTGAATGGAGGCGAACAATTGATATTGTTCCTGCCATGTAACTCATCGGTGCTGATGGAGCTGTAAAATTCGCATTCGAATCCTGTTCACATTCCTATGGAAGGCCTGATATCGAATCAAGTTTGAACAATTATCACCATGGGAGTAGGGCATGATAATTCCACTTCAATTTCAACTCATCCTCTTTATTGTTCAGCTACACTACACAACAACAACAATATCCTTTCAACTCACAGTCTGAACTTCCAAGAACAAATCCACCACAATTTTTCCAGAAGCAAGAAACCAACAAGTTCGTAAGGAAATCATTGAGATAGATCGATATATCCAATTCCCAATCGATTAGTCCATACATACCGAACTCGACACTGAATCTATCGAAAACCAGAGTCTTGCACCTACAAAACCATCAACCAAGGGTTCAAAATCCCTTGTCGATGGATCACACATTCAGGTTCAACCAGGCAAGAAAGTTCGCTTCACCGAGAAGATGTCTAATGCACAGACAAGCCCAGTTAAATCAGTCCTTCCACCAAACCCTCCCCAAGAGTCCTGAACTACGTGATGTTGGGGATGTTGGGGATGTCACGCTGTCATACACCGTCCTAAGATCAGAACTAGGTCTTACATCCTCCCAACAACTCCCAATCCAAGCGAGATATCTTCGCAAAATTGACAGGCAAGTGGTGTTTAACTAGCAGTTCTTGATTTTCTGACTTAAAAATGCTAAAAAATCCAAAAATGAACACGAAATCATTGCCTTTGTAGGGAAGTCGTGACCTTCAGAAATTTCGTTATCAAAAAACCCAAAAATTTAAACAGAATCTGTTTCGTTGTAAAACATCAATTCCTCACTCAATATGTATTGCCTGTGAAATTTAAAATATAACAAGTAGACTTGATTATTCGAACCGAGGGAGTCAACGAGTGTTTCTTGCCGCCTACTGTAAAATAATACCTACGCAAACTTGCTCCAAGATGACTGACCACTAAGTCAAGTCTGTGATGGTAGAATGAATGTAGGTCAATATGATAAGATACAATTGTTACCTATAATAACCAACGTACTCGAGTATCGATCCATAGAATCGTTACCTGTGACTGACTCAACACCAAAGTAGTAAGGTGCAAACATAACTGGACAGTATAAGATGAGCGCGAGAGATGAATTTAAAGCGATTATAATCGAGGTACTTAAATTTGCCGGAAAACATATTGTAGTATTCAACCATGTGTATTTGTGATGTTTGTCAAAAGAAGGAGAAAAAAAAAGGTGTGACATTGGGCTCGTCAACTAAGTTGGATTTGATTACTGATTACTAATCTGCCCCTTGGCATTCTTGAAGCTTTTCCCCATCGAAACAAAACAACAACAACTCACTCTGTTCAGAATCAGAATCAGAACAATTCGATAATCCAACAACGCTCTTTTGTGTATACTCCAATCCTTATCGATCTTTTCACCCGCCCGAAATTTGACTCGAAGAAGTCTTCAACAATATACCGGTGCCGGCACCACCACTCTCACCAGAACTTGGATCAATTGTCTGTCTACAAATTTATCCATCCAACCCATTTCCTCTCACACAACGCTTCCATCTCTTTCCCTATATCGAGGCATCGAAATAGAAGCTGAGGCCATAGAAGAACGAGCACCAAAGAAGATTGCCAATAATAAAGTACCAGTTGGTGATTACTGCAATGCAAGTACACCCGTTCATCAATATTCCGACAGCAAGGAAATTTGGCCAGCTTCACGTGACCAATTGGAAGCTGCATACGAATTCATCCGCGAATGCGCGACGGCTCAAAAACGTACTCTTATTGTACCGGATGTAGGTGCAGATGGATTGACCTCTGGAGTCATCATGTATTTGACATTGTTGAGACTTGGACTTAATAAAAAGTATTTGAGTGTTCATTTGGTGCAGAAGGGTTCAAATATTCATGCAGAGTATGAAAGGAAGGCGATGGCGTTAAAGAAACCAAGGTATGTGATTATTTTAGGTAAGGGATGTTGACGTGGAATGCCATTGCCATTGCCATTGCAACTGCAATTGCCTGTGATTGATCGCAAGAATACGAAATGTATGGTTATTCATCCTCATTTTGGTGATGATTGTCCCAAAAATGCCACTGAGTTTAACATTCTTTTGTGGGCAAGTTCATGGGCAAATTCATTTGAAACTGATGAATTATGGAAGGTCGTTTCAGGTTATCATTGTTCACGGATTCCAACGATTGCTATTATGACTTACGAAATTTGCAAACAATTGAATCCTGATATCGATCGGAAATCCGGGTATGGGTACCTTTGCGCAATTGGAACATATGGAAAGCTCGGGGGCAGTATAAAATGGACACCTCCATTTCCGGATATGAAAGAGATCTTCAAGAAGCTTTCCAAAACTCGCATTAATAAATGCGCTTCCTTTATCAATGCTCGTATGTTATATGAACTTTCAACTTTCAACTTTCAACTCTCAATCGCTGAATCTTATCTAGCACGAAAAACTGGTACATATGATGTTCTCCACCGCTTGGACAGCATTATTCCAAGCTTTTCAATACCCGAAGTAAATCTTGGTCAACAAGAGGCTGGTAGAAGCACGACGAGAATTCAAAGAAGAGGTTGATAAACAAATTCACAATATTCCAAAACTTAGTAAAGATGGCAAAATTTTGGTACTGAAAGTCGAAAGTGAGGCTCAGATACACCCTTTTCTTGCTGAACGATGGGTATGTATTAATTGGCTGAAATCATCTTATTTCTGCTGACCATTCATTCCACACAGGCAAAAATTCCTAGGTCCGAAGCCTTAGAAATAGTCATCGTTGCTAACTATGGCTACTTATCTGGCAAAGTAGATTTCTCATGTCGGAGAGCTGAATTTACTCAAGCCTCTGATAACACAGTCAATATTATCGAATCATTAAAAGCCATAGCTAATTTGGACACCACGGATTTGGTCGAGAGACTACGAGAAAACTTTGTGCGTGGCTTTAAGAAGCCTGGTGGGATCGTCAACACGGCCGAATTCGAGGAATTGTGTGATTTGATGAAGCTTGGTGAAATGCCTGAATGGTCTGAAAAGTTTGAGCTGCGAGTTGCACCGACAAAAGAAAGTTGAGAAAATTGCTACGGAAGAACGCATTGAATGATAATTTTAAGAAGTTGAGATCAAAGGATCCATAGAAATATTGGCAACCCATTCATTCAAATTCAATATAACAGGATTGATGAACATCCAACACAATATAAATTTCCAGAAGTCTTTCCAGACAGACCTCGAACAATCTCATCAACTACACTACCAGTACATATACCGACCGACCTGCTCCAATTCCAATACTCAACTTGAAGTCCGATTGGACCGCGGCGCCAACTCGGGAGGCTCAGGAACATGATCAAGCTCAAGTGCATCAATCCACGGAATCAACTCTTCATCAGCTCTCCCCGCCATCACATTTTCCATCCAAGCCTTAAACAAATGCAACGGCATATGCTCCCACAATTCCCATCCCACCATACGATACATCATAGCCTTCCTTATACACTCCTCCCGATCGTCAAATCTCGGATCCGTGAACATTGGCTTTTTGATGCGGTATATCATGCCGCATTTCCCTGTGCGAGTAGGATCCATTTGGACGGGCCATAGGGTTCGTACGGGTTCTTCATTGCTTGCGGATCCAGTTCCTGATGGGGTGGGATCGGAATTGGGATCGGGTGGTGGTTCTGGTTTGGTGGGATCCGGGTCTGATGCGGGTTGTCCGGCCCATACAACTTTTTTGCCCTTGCCCTTGCCCTTCTCGACTTTCTTCACTTTGGTTCGTGCCCCCGCTTGGGATGTCTTGGATGTTTTAGATGCACCTGGCTTTCTTAGTGCTGCTTTTATCGAAGGCTTCCTCAGATTCCGCTTACCCAAATCCGGTTTACCCAAACCCGGCTTCCCCAAACCCGGTTTACCAGGACCCGGTTTACCCTTCCCCCTTTGGCGCGGCGACGTCTCTTCCTCCTTCTCATCCTCATCACTCATCTCCTCCTCACTCGAAATCTCCTCCGGCTCCTCCTTTGGAGGCGGCGGCGGTCTCAAATTCTGCTTATACGATTCATCCATGATAATCTCCTGTAATTTGCGCGGGATCTTGAAGAGTGGGTAATCGAAAGGTTTAGAGAATCCTCCATTTAGGAGTTCGGCTGCTACGCGCGTTCTCTTCCCAACGCGGGGAGGTGCGTTGTTCATGTCCCGGTTGCTCCAACACATCATGTCGTATCCGAAGATTAGGCTCGTAGCCGAGGTTAGTGCCATCATGCTGCAGTTGAAGCCATCATGTTGGCGTGGCGCATTGGGACTATTGTCTGTGGTTCTGCTTGCCGTAATTGCGTGGTCGGTGCGGTAGTGCCATTGTCCGTATAACGGCAGTCCATCGGTATCCAAGATTCTCTTTTTGAATTTCTCGTATACGATGGCTTCGAGGATATTCATGGAGAAGATGTTATGGTGAAATTGTTGCAGATGACTCTCGTCCATACCTTTTTTTTGGGGTCGTGGGTCTGTGATTCCGCTGTTGTCGATGTGGAAGCAAAAACGCTGTTTGGGGGCTATACCGATGACTATCGTGTGGTAGGATTTGTATTCGAAGGGTATGAGTACATAGTCGAGATTCATGAATGTGTCGTCGTCATATTGCGCTAGTGCTTCTCGGGTCAATCCCCACGCCAGGGCAAAGTCTTGTGGTATCCATTGTTTCTTTTTTGTGGACCCGGGACCCACCTCATAATTAACCTTACCTTTCTCGGGATGCCAATAGATTCTCTGCGTGTCGATCGATATGCAGCTGAGCTTTTGTGTGGTAGGTTTATCGCCAGCTAGATCGCCGCCTTTGAGCGTTCTCGCAATTGCTCTATTCCTATATTCGCAGGCCAGAAAAATATACTAATGTAGAGATTTCCCATCAGTAAGTGTCCTCAAACTTTCAGCTCAACCCGACCATACAAGACCCACCACCCATAACGAAAGCAAGAAAAACCACCCAACATCAACTCACCAAATCCAAAATCGTCAACGGCACATGCGCCAAACTCTCCCCCAAAACCTCCCCATTTGCCAAAACTATATCCCCCACCTCCGTCGCCTTAATCAAATACCTAAAATCAGTCTTCAAAACCTTCATCCTCTCCATATCCACAGCCCACTTGCTCCATCTCTTCTCATCAACCTTATACATTTCCTCCAAAACCCTCAAAAACCATTCCTTACTCAAAGGCTGAAACTGTCTCCGCTCCATCTCCAACCTCACCGCACTATCCAATAGCTTAGGATCGGGACGAGGTATTGGGGGTCGTGGAGGGGATTTGGTAACAGGGTATGTACTAGGGTCATGGAGGATGATCTTTTGTTTTTTGAGCAGGTGTGAGAGGTTGGAGTGGTAGGTGGATGCGTTGCTGGTGGTGACGCGGGTGGTGCGTGTGCGCTTTTTGGTGCCAAAGGGGTCGGGGATGGGTGGGTTGGGGGGAATGAGGGTAGTGGGCATGATGGTGTTGGTTTTGCGGGGGGCGGCCATGGTGATGGGTTGTGCTGGGTGTTTATGGGAAAGGTGGGTTTCTGCGGTACTTTAATTTAGTCTCAAGGTGTCGATGGGATGAAAAAGTTTTCGTTTTCGTACCAAAGAGTTGAAGTTGACTTTGTATTCTATCTCATAAAGAAGAGTTGAGTTGGGTTGATTTTAGTTTCTATCAACCATCCCATCCATATACCTAAATCACTGATTGCGATCGATGCGGAAACTAAAGCTCCAAACCATACCTAGTAGATAAAGAAATCCCTTGTTTGTTTTGTGAGTTAGAAAGAGACCGCATTGGGCGAGTCGTTGCATTCTTTATAGGATTATTACTATAGAATAAAACGACTGAGATAATAAACAAAGAGAGATTTGTAGAAATGAGATATGTGGGTTTTGCTTTATTCATGGAAAATTCTTGTACCAGCTCGCTTGCGCAAGTAAGGAGACATTTGAGAGAGGAGAGTTGTTATGCTGTGTGATATCTACTCTAGTATTCAAATGTAACTCTATATTCCAACCAACTATTCAACTATTGTCGAGGAATCTTCAATTGATTTATTATTACTTCTTCTTCTTCTTACCACCCTACGCTACGTACCGGACGGAAACTTCAGATGTAGCTCCATACTCAGACTCATAATCAATTTCATACTCAATTTCATACTCATATTCAAATCCAAATCCTAATCCAACATCTAACATCCACATCACATCCATACACATCCAAATCTACACATCTATCCAACATCCATCAAACAACTAAAAAAAAAATAGCTCCAGAGTACTACTACAGTACTCACTCACTCAGTACTCGTAGATTAAATTGCATCATCCATCATCTAATATTCCATCCAACCCAACCTACATTACATTACATTATATTCCAAACCTACATACATCAGTAACATCACATAGAGCAGAAGCGAAACCACGAAGGGAAATTATGGAAAGAAGTGAGTGAGTAGTGAGTAGTGAGTAGCGAGTAGTGATTGCTGTGAGTGAGTGAGTGAGTGAGTGTAGATATTTCTGGAGAATTTATGGAAAGGAGGGAAGGAGGGAAGGAGGGAAGGAGGGAAGTGGGGAAGAAGGGAAGAAGGGAAGGGGGGGAGTAGGGAATCGGGGCGAAATTAATTTGTGGTCTGGTTTGGGAAGGGAAGAGAAGGGAAGGGGGGGTTTAGAGAGAAAAATGGAATGAGATTGATGGAATGAGATTGATGGAATGAGATGGATGCGATGAGTTATTTGGATGGGTTGGATTGCATGATTTGTATGATTTGGTGGGTTTGTATACGTTTGATGGATTATATTGTACGAGTATGAAATGAATGAGATCAATAAATCAACAAATCAACACAAGAATAGAGAGCAATCTCACTACCTAATAAGTAATAAGACTTCCCAAAATAAAGCAAAGAAAGCAATTCCGACGCTCGCTCGTGTAAATACATACATACATACATACATATCGTAATGCCGATATAACAGACTCCTATCACATCACATCAAACATCATAATCCCCATCCATAGTCACCTACCAAGACCCAGACCAGTCTTAGTCTGATCTTCGCCGCGCTAGCCAATCAAGAAACTACAAATTGTGTTCTTCATAATCATCAAAAGGGTATCTCTTTCATCACATCTCACATCATATCTCCCAACCAAAGCTCCAGCTCCAGCCCCACCCCGACCAAAACCTAAACCTAAACATCACGAACGACTCCCTTCACCGAATCATAAGCACCAGGTGCGACGTGTGTTTTGATTCCGGTTGTGGGGTCGAAGATATGGCAGCCGTGCATTGCAGCGTTGGGGGGTGTGTATACTGTGTTTGTTAGATTTGTTAGTTGTGTATTCGTGTTATTGGATTGCTGGGGGAAGGGGAATGTATGGTATGGAGTTGTTGATATATGGAGATGGAGGGTGGTTGTGGGAATGAGGGGATGAGGGTTGATGTGATGGTGTAAGGATGGGTGAGTAGAGTGAGTGAGTAAAGGGATAACTTACGATGTAGAGAGACTGCATATTCGGTTGCGCTAGGATTGGCGATGGAGTGAAGTCCCATCTATTGTTATTGCTGTTAGCCACGTGATCCTGCACTGTTCCAACTGTAACCCAAACCAAACAAGATAGGAAAATAGAAGCACAAGTAAAAGTAGAAGGGGAAAACCATACATCATCACACATATACGCGACCTTCTCTCTCTTGTATTCCCTCACTCCCTCAATCTCCATTTCCCCCATCATCTCCCGTCTCCCCTTTCCACATCCCTCACTCATACCCCCATCAGGTGTAACCCACCTCGTCTCCCTCAACCCCCCCTTCATAATCTTCATCAAACAATGACTCGCCGCATGATCATGCACTTTACTTTCTTTTCCGGGTGTCCAAACCAACATCAACAAGTTGAAAACCCCCTCAACTTCCGCTACCAAATTCCTGGTGTATTGTTTGTTTGGGTTTGCATATGCGTATTTTTGCCATTCGGAAGGATTCTTCGATGTGTAATTGCGAAGGAGAGATGTGAGGGTAGGGAGATGTGGGGTGGATGATGTGGTGAGAGAGTGCGTGAGTGAGTTGATAAGAGTATCGAAAGAGGTTGTGGTTATTGTTGTTGATTTAATGAATGAGTTGGGGAAATTGCCAACGAAATCTAGATAGGAGGGAGGACAATTAGATACATATTTCACATCATTATCAATTCAAAGAGTCAAAATACCTCGTGGTAAGAAAGGGGTCCTAGGTTGTTGGCTAGAAGTGGTTGATTTTAATGAGGTTGAATTTCTGGTCGTTCCAGCAATACCACGATTGGCGAGGATGGGCGCGAACGAGGATTTGGACGATGTACTTAATGTTGTACGGAGTGTACGGATTGCTGTGGTTTTCAAACTATTTGATGCCATTTTTGTGATGTCACGATCTGTTGCGAAGTTGTAGATTTGAAAGAAAAAAATGGTGGTAGTAGAAATGGGGTAAAAACGTGGAAGAAATCAGAAATGTTGAGAAGAGTTCTAAAAATGTGGTAAATTCTGGCAGTGCGTAGTTTAAATAGGTTGGTACATAACAACCCTACTGACTGCAACGGCATCGGTAATAGCCGTTGGTTAGCCGTAGCAGACTGCTCAATAGTTGTAAGGTAATCTGATCTTATCATTAAACTTTTCCCAGATACATCTTGCGTTGGTGAATGGTCCCTAGATCCTTCCCGAAATAATATCCAGCCCGTAGATTCCTTCCATTTCGATAGATTTCCCCTTTAATTCTTGTTGGTTTGAAACATTCCATCTTCGAACAACCTCAATCGTCGGCGCGGCGCACGCGCGTTTGACCCCACGCATGGTTGTAAACATTGTGACCGCCCCTTTCTTTTCGAATTTCTCAATGGATCGTTCCCTTAATCGTGTACCTTATGTCTTCCCTGATTCGCCCAAATAGATAATAATATCTCGCACCCGAAAACCCCCTCACAACCTTCCTGAAGTCGAGTAAGATCATGCGGTTCGATGTTCCCGTCGTTCGTTGGCCGTCACCGCCTAATTGGATTTTCCAATGTGAGAATCCTTATTGGTGATGTTGTGGCTAAGCGGGGTTATCCAAGAGGGTTGTGGATCCACTAAATTGTTATCTATTGGTCGCATGTTAATTGGGAAAGGTAATCCCTTCATCAAAAGTTACACAATTCCAACTCGACACCGAAAGATACGAGAATATGAAGAGCAGATGAGAGGAATTGATATGATAGAAAAGTATCTACCGGTAACATCATCATGTATAAAATGATGATGTAGTGATGACTGAAGATGTACAGTCAGTAGAGCTGAATGGGTGAACCGGAGATACTATCAACTCAAAAGAACAACAAATCCAATTGATTGCATCCAACGATGAGTACAATTTCGTAATGAAAATGCATCCCATATTCGTCGATCAAGGATCCAGTCATGAAATGATTCCGACTGCGGAATACCTTCATCTTGCTGTAATACCCTTTCCTCATCCCCAGTTCTCATTTCATTCCACGCCTAGAACTCAAGGCCAACAGTTCATGATGCTTTCATTGGTTATCACTTGGACCAATCGCACATTAGACTAGTGGATCACAACCTCTTCAACTTCATCTTCTTCCCTCTCGAATACAAGGAAAGTTCTCTAAGAATCAGAGAAAAACCACAAACTCTTCAGGTCAAATTCGAGTCAATTCTTTGAGTCGTATAAATCATTATTGAAGAAAGAGCAGAAAATCTATCAGAGGGAAGACGTTTCCTTATATTTGACTGCCTACTTGCTGGAAATTGACGCTAGTGGTGGACAGGGGCGATGATGTTTTTTCACGTGCATGGGTGGTATCGGGGTCCGGTCTTATGTTTATCCGAGGTATTATTCAGGGAGATGTTTGTTTCTGGGTCTGAATCTTATCATTATTGGAAATGAAACCTTACTTATTATTGCATATTTGATATATATGCTTCATTTCGGAGGAGCATCCAGCAAACTATAACCTTACTACTCGAGTAGAGATAGTTAACCTTAACTTTAGCAAATGGTAAGGTTAATACACGACCTCAGGAGCACAAGCACAAGCATTTGATATTGAATCTTAACATACCGATTACTATTTTATTTTCACTTCAAAGCCATTTTGAGAGGTATGATCAATGTGGGATCCAATAATTAATACTGCGTGTCGATTGACAAGCAAGACTGTAAGGTTATTATACAATCACAACCGGGTAGGCAACGGGAAGGGAACGGGGTTCATTGATGTTAGGAGAAATGTAACGGAGAGATGGATATATCTAGGCACCTCGATTTTGCAAAGATTTACAGAATCGGAATGGGGGGAGCCGATAGAGGTCATGAGATGGGGTTTTGGTTGATTAATAAAGATTTTGAAGGAATTTATTGATGGTTATAGTTATGAATTGTCTAGAATTAATAACATGAGGAAGAGTCCCGCGAGCATCGGCCTGAATTAATCTCTAGGTAGGTAGCTGGAGAGTTCTTCGACGGAGTACTGTAGCACTATTTCGTGGAAAAGTAAACGATAAGGGGAAATGTTAAGATTCGGTGATGAGAAGGGGTTAGCGAGGATAGGAAGATATAACTACCTAGAAGTTATATTTCTGAGGATCTCATCTAATTACTTTAGTTTAGTAGACATTTCAGAATCAATATTGAGATCAGAAAGGTTTATGCCATGTATTGAATATTGATGGTCAATGTTGACAATCGAGGGAATCCATCCTTGCCAAGAACCGACCCCTGGCACCAAATATTCACGTGTAGATAACCCGATAAGCCCTACCAAGCTTACCAATCGCTCCACCATAACATGCATGACATACCAATTCCAATTCGTCACATTCACCATTCCATTCCTCCCACAAAACTCTCCCATCACATCACCCTCTTCCCACCCCCTTCCCCTTCCCACTCCCCTCCCTCATCCCCCCATAACAATGGGTATCCTCCGCAA